GCCGTCGGCGTTGAGGTGGAAACATCGACCGGAAACGTCCGATTCATCGCCGCCTACTGCCCCGGCAATGTACCGTTAGCAATGGTACAGCACAGCAGTTCAAAAACAACCTTGCCATCATAACCCACACCAATGCCCGCTTCGTAATCGGAGGGGACCTGAACGCCCGGCACGAGGCCTGGCGAAACTACCAGCAGAACCAGAACGGCCGCCTATTATTCGACCATTCCCAGCATGGTCTCTATTCCGTCTGGTTTCCGGACGAACCAACCTTCACATCACCGGCGGGCAACCCATCGACGCTGGACCAACCAACGACCTGAGTTCGGACCACCAACCGGTGCTGACCGAGCTGGGCTGCAACGTGGCCCCTGCACCGTGCCTGCGGAAGGACTACCATCGAGTCAACTGGGTCCAGTTTCGGCGCGTGGTCGACCGCCTCATCGTCGACAACCCACCACTCGACACAGTGGAGGACATCGACCAGGCCCTGGAGGGTCTCCATCAAGCCATATCCGTGGCTGACGAAGAGTGCGTTCGACGAGTTCCTGTGAGGGGTAAGTTTCAAGCAATTGATTCCCACACCAAACTCTTGATTCGGCTCAGAAATGTTCGTAGACGCCAGTTCCAGCGGACTGGGGATCTGCAGCGTAAATACGAAATGGTCGATCTGAATCGGCAGATCGGTTCCAGAATGGTCTCAATCCGGAACGAGAGTTTCGGGCGGCTCGTTCAGAACCTGGACGACCGTTCCAGACCATTCTGCAAGGTTGCCAAGGTGCTGAAGTCTCACCCCAAGCCCATTCCACCACTTAGAGTCAATGACGAACGGCTTATCACCAACGAAGAGAAAGCCAATGCGATTGGGAAGCACATTGCCCAGTCGCATTTGCTTGGCTCCAAAATCCCAAGTCCACTCGAGAACCAGGTTGCGCAGTGCGTCCAGACGTTAGATGCCTCCCCTTGTGCCGTCCCTCCATAAGAACGGATTACAGAGGAACAAATTTGCTCAGCGCTGAAACACAGTAAGAACATGAAGGCTCCCGGGTTTGACGGAATATTCAACCTAGAGATGAAAAATCTCAGCGCGAGGGTGCACTCGCTGCTGGCTGCCATCCTCAACAGGTGCCTGGAGCTGCACTACTTTCCAAGCATCTGGAAGGTGGCAAAAATCATCCCGATCCGCAAACCTGGGAAAGACCCTTCACTACCGTCAAGCTACAGACCGATTAGCCTGCTCTCAGCGCTGAGCAAGCTGTTCGAAAAATTGATCCTCAGCCGACTAAACAAGTTTGTGGAGGAACATGACAATCTTCTTCCGGAACAGTTCGGGTTCCGCAAGGGGCATTCCACCAATCATCAGCTAGTGCGGGTAATGAATAACATCCGAAGTAACAAAGCTGTATCCAAGTCCACAGTCATGGCTTTGTTAGACGTCGAAAAGGCGTTTGACAATGTCTCTTACGGTGGAGCTCTACCTTGTTCGCGCATCCATTCCTCACCACAGTCCCGTTGTAACTCCCACTTTACATTAAGTTTTTTAAAATGTTGTCTGTCCCTTTTGGTGGGTAATCAGAGCCAGTTGTACGTTATGTAACGATAGACTGAAACGCTTTCTTTCGAGGCAGGCCCTAAGCCTGACCCTCGATTATCAAATGTGATGAACTAGCCTACGGCTAAAAATCACAAAAATAAAGAAAAAAAAAAAAAAAAAAAAAAAAGACGGACTTATATACAAGCTTTGTAATTCTAACTTTACACCATACCTTGTGAAAATCACCCGTAACTACCTCCAGCAAAGGTCGTTCAGGGTGTCGTTGAATAGTTCCCTTTCGGGACAATTTCCGATCCCAGCAGGTGTTCCGCAAGGGAGTCTGCTGGGACCACTGCTTTACAGCATCTACACGTCGGACATCCCTCCTCTAGGAGACGGTTGCGTGTTCTTTCTGTTCGCAGATGACACCGCGATAGCCGTCAAGGGTAGGATGCCTCGTGAAATTACGAACAAGCTCCAACGATGCCTTGACACCTTTACTGATTATGCCACCACGTGGAAAATCAAAATCAATGCCTCGAAAACCCAAGCGATCATGTTCCTTCACAGACAATCACCAAAACTTAAACCGTCTCCCTCCTGTACCGTAATAATGGATGGTACAAGGTTCGAGTGGTCCACTGATGTTACTTATCTCGGGATGTTGTTCGATGAGAAGCTCCTGTTCCGCTCGCACATAGAGAAAACCCTAGTTAAGTGCTCCGCCTTGGTTAGGTGTTTGTATCCGCTCATTTGCCACAGATCCCGCCTCTCAAGGCAAAACAAACTGGCTGTCTACAAACAGATCATAGCCCCCGCGATCTTCTATGCCGCCCCGGTGTGGGAATCGTGCGCTCAGACTCACAGGAACAAAATCCAGGTTGCACAGAATAGAGTGTTGAGGATGATCCTAGATCGTCCATTCGACACAAGAATAGCAGACCTCCATCAAGAGGCAGAAATCAGCGGCGCCGGTGGTGTAGTGGTAAGCGTGATTACCTCTCACCCCAGCAGGCCTGGGTTCAATCCCAGTCGGCGCCGCCGGGATGTTCTGAGGCATAACATCTCTGATCACGCCTTCCTTCGGATGGGAAGTAAAGCCGTTGGTCCCCGGTTCATGATTTGATGGGTCGATAGGTAGGGTCCAGGTGTGGGAGCTGCCTTCCTGGCGTCGGTAGCATTGGTGCTCAGCACGGAAAACAAGATCGACGGAAAACAAACCAAAGGAAAAAAAAAAAAAAAGAGGCAGAAATTGCCAAAGTAGATTCCAAAATTGAGTATATAACAACCAAATTTATCCAAAAATGCAATCTTTCTGAACATGCTTTAATAAGAAATTTGTACATAGTAGGTTAAGTGTATATAGTAGAGTAGGTTAGTTTTAAGCTGTAAATAGTAGTATTAAGTAGTTTCTCTTCAAATTCTAAAAACAAAACGAACCAATCCCACCAAGGTGGTCGACCGTGTACTAAGTCTAGGACTAATTCTGTAAAACAAATTTTGAACTTTGCCCATACCTAAAGATGAAGAAAGCAATTAAATCACTTAGACAAATGTATATGGTAATCATCCAAGTTGAACTGAAATAAAGATCATTTAAACTAAACTAACTAAACTAAGAAACTAATACCATTAACCGACATACAAAGCAGTACCGTTGTACTCCTTTAATCGAGTATCTACCTTAAAAGGTACAATTTGAGGTACTAGCTTAAAGAAGTACAACGGTAGTACAACAGTGTACTTTGTTTGTCTGTACAGATCTAATGATTTAAAATTGGCTCACTACTTGACTAGCCTATTAGTCCCAAGCAAATCGATTAACGTACCCCATTCTAGTCAAAATTTTAGTGTAGTATGTTTGTTTTGATTCGCTATGAAAGTTTGACAGATAAAATGAGGGGTTCCTGGATTTTCCTCTGTTTCGAAGGGTGCATCGGTTGGCTTTGGACCGAAGATAGCACCAGAGCTGAGCCAAACATTTGAACACGTATCTTCGGGATCTTCTGGTCTTAGAGTTATCTCAAAGGTAGTAATCTCTAGTTTATAATTAGAAAAGTTCAGTCTGTACGACTAGTCGAAGACGGTGATATATAAATAAACATTGCTGCATTACAAACCGGTGAAAGTGAGAGTTGATGACGATGCACAACACAAAGTTCAAAATGTTGATCAAAAGTTTTTGTTCTACGATTTTTAATCAGTTGTTAAGCATCCATTGATTTGAACATTTCAAATGTTTGCATTTTTTAAATTTTCGGACCAGGACGTTTTGGGATATTTGGGTTCTGAACATATTTTTTTGAAGTTTTACTAAAACAAAAACCAAAAATAGTTTTTGTTTGTTTAACCGAGAAAGAGATAATTTTTCAACTTTTTCCCTGACGTTATTTCGAACAGAAATGCCGTTTTTCGAAAATTTCAAAGCCAAACTTTAGCAAAAATGCAAATCATTTCCCAAAACAAACAATTATGCAAAGTTTCATAGAAATCGGAGAAGGTCGAATCAAAAATTCAATTTATTTTTGTTATTTTGCCTGGAACTGTAAATTACTGAGTCCTGCTCCTGGTCATCAAATTCACATGCATCAACTCCTCACAAAGAGCGATTATCCGCCCACATAAGGGTCTTTATCAGTGTGTGTGTGTGCATCACCGTTGCATGCTCGACATCAAAATCACCTAGCTTGTGGTACCGATCGATGGCAAACTTTACTCCCAGCATCTGCACCTGCATATCTCCTGCAAGCTAAAATCGGTGAAGCAAAACTTTTATCTTCCTTCCTTCCTTCCTTACATTCCGAATGCTCTGAGGTGGTGAATGGAGGAACTCTTCAAAGAGTCACAACTCTCGCATCCAGTCTCTGACTGACTGATGTTGTGAGGTAGGTTAGACGCCTACTTCGTCATCATCAGAGATAGAAGAAGCAACCAGCACAGAGTTGATCTTTTCATTAAACTGAACGTTGAGCTCCCATTTGGGGTGGGTGGTAGTTGACGACTTGAAGAAGGGTCTTGGAGGTGGGGAGTGAGCAAAAGTTTGACCGTGTAGTAAAGTTCTAGCAACCGACCTTCCCCTCAGCCTTGGTCTCGGCCGGCGCACATGCTGCTTCAGGGAAGGAATTTTGACAAAATGTGTGTGCATAATTTATGGTTTTCCGGAGAAAGTTCCTCGTCAGCTGGATCCGAGCCAGAAAGGAAGGATGCAACTTTGTTCCTCGAACCGAACGCCCAATCGCCCTGCTGGGTAAAAGCTTGTCCTAGTCAGCGGGACTGTGATTGTCCGAAAATTGAACGTGCAATGATTTCTTTGTTCGAGGAGTCATTCGGAAAAAAACGTGTAATTGAGCATAACATGCTTGAGTACGCTAATTTTCACACCCTTATACTTGATTGCCTGGAATTAGTCGAATGTAATTTGATTTCCCTTTTCTGAAATACGCAATTTACCTTTTCTCCAAAACAGGAATCACATCATCGCCGATGTTTAACGGGAACTCCGGAACCGGAGGAGGAGCTGGAGGAGGAGGAGGAGGCATCGGTTCGGTCCCATTCAGTTTTCCCCCGCCGGATAATAAGCCCTACTTTGACGACGTCAGCCCGCGGAACGTCACCACGGTGGTGGACGATACGGCCATCCTAAAGTGTCGCGTCAAACACAAGGGCAACCGAACGGTAAGTCATATAAATTGTTATTACTGATTTAGTTACGGAATGTTTAAGCTCTGTCATTTTCCCTTTTGGTCCGGATGGCCTTCAAATTGGGTTTTCGTCCCCGACGAAGTGTAAGGTTTTTGGCGCTGAAGTGGAAATTATAGCTCCATAAAAATGGGGATGCTTATTGCGACAATGGGTGGTCATCAGTGTTTGGGTTGCTGGATCTTCTTACTCTGTTTTACTCTTCTTACAACGAAGGGTATACCGACAGCTTGGAACAACTACTTTTGATCCGAGGCCAATTGTCATATGCCAGTATAGATGATGATGATGATGATGATGATGATGGTCCCACCTCTTACCCCTACAAAGGTTTGAAATGAACGATGTATCTTTAAGATAATTAAATATGACAATTTAACCAGGTTTGCAAACAAAATCGAACTGGTTTCAGTTACAGATATAAATTCCCTCTAGAGTTTACAGTTGCTTCACAGCGATATAAATGTGGAAAAGCTCAGGCGTCCACCTCTTAGTTCACCTTTTTGTCCACCATTCATAAGTATTGCAAGTGACCAACAGTTAATGAACAATCAACAAAGCATCCTATTACACTAGCAACCCAGCAATCTAATGCTTTCATAATTTTCAGCAATATCAGGAATGCTCACGAACCCCCAAAATTTGCCAAAAAACGCGAGGCTCAAACCTTTGTAGACTATTTTTTTAAAAAGCTATTACCAATAAATCAAATATTAAAAATCCATCATCACCATCGTGGCGAACAAAAACAGTTTTTACAGTGCAACAATAATTATTAAAAAGGCATTATGACAGCTATCCATACAAAATAATCCGTTTGAGATAACTTCGTCAAGATACATAATTTGCCAATTCATAAAAAAAAAATTACTGGAAACTGTTCTAACGACAGGTTTAACGTGTGAAATGCAGTGTCTTTTTAATTATGTAAGTGTTGCTGAACGTTTGATATATCTAGGCATCGAATTGAAAACATTTATTCCTTTATAATATAATGAATTTTGGGAAGCAAGCAAGTCAAGAAATGTGGTGTTCTTATTTCAACCGCGTTTCTAGTATTATATCTATGAAATTCACTTCCTCTTTCAATTCGATCACAGAAATATCGAGGCAGCAAACCGTTAACTACTTTAAAAATGAACACCATAGTCTAATATACAATTATTTGCTTCACCGACAACCATTGTAAAGCTTCTAGCATCAAAGTTGAGGAAGTGAATCTATTACATCTCAAAATCAAACGCATTTTTTAAATTCTGCAAGCGCTGTAATCTTGATATTATTTTTTACTAGTATGTTTATTGGAAGGCTCAATCGCGTTAGCTTTACGGAGCCGATAGTTCAGTGTTCTTTGTTTGTAACAAAAATCTCGATATTTGTGTTGCATTGTTTAAAAATAAAATGGAAGGGCAAAAGTCAAGATAAAGAGAAATCATTGAGTTGTATAGCTGTATTTTACTGGCAATATTTAAATCGTTTTTCAGTCGACCTAGAATTTCATACTTCTTGGTTTTTTTGATGACATTATCAATGTGAGTGTTGGACTTAACTTTTTCATCAATAATCACAACGGCGCCGGTGGTGTAGTGGTAAGCGTGATTACCTCTCACCCCAGCAGGCCTGGGTTCAATCCCAGTCGGCGCCGCCGGGATGTTCTGAGGCATAACATCTCTGATCACGCCTTCCTTCGGATGGGAAGTAAAGCCGTTGGTCCCCGGTTCATGAGTTGATGGGTCGATAGGTGGTAGGGTCCAGGTGTGGGAGCTGCCTTCCTGGCACGTCGGTAGCATTGGTGCTCAGCACGGAAAACAAGATCGACGGAAAAAACAAACCAAAGAAAAAAAAATCAATAATCATGCCAAGATATTTAATCTCCCGAACGCGATCAATAGCCTCATCATCAATTACAACAGAGACGTTCTCATTTATTCGATTCCGTTTTACTTGTATTCAATTTCAACTGCTTATACTTCTACCATCTACTTAGAGAACGCAAATCTTCATTCAAGTGTAAAACGGCATCATCTAAATCCTTAGCTGCAATGAATAACACAGTATCATCTGCAAAAAGATTAATGTCGCAAAGTCGAAAAACACGTCGCAAGTCATTAATATCCATAATAAATAACAGAGGCCCTAATACACTTCCCTGGGGCACTCCAAGGTTATTCCCCACGGGACTGGAAACAGAATCATTAAAAACAGTCTGTCAGACAAATAGCGTTCAAACCATTTATATGCACTACTCGTAATTCCAAAGCGCTTGATTGTTCTTAACAATAAGGGCCTAGAAATTGTTTCAAAAAGCGCGTTTAAGATCCAAAAAAAACAGCAACAATCGTATCTTTACACTCCAAGCTATTTTTCCACTTCGCTAATATCAAATTCAACGCGTTTTCACAAGCATGACCTTCCCAATATCCCGATTATTCTGGTATCAACAAAGAGTTGCTATTCAAATACTCCAACAGCTGGCCTTTAACAACAAGTTCTAAGATTTTCTCTAATGTGTGCAACATGTTGATGGGACGAAACTCTTTGGCTTTAATCGTTCCAGCAACTTTTTGAATAGGGACCACTAAGGATTCCTGCCAAATTTGTTTATTTATTTATTTGACGTCAATCAGTGTAGACCGTTTTAAATTGTTGTTTTAAGTGCTATTTTTACAATTTTTTCTTTGTATATATTTTTATAAAATGTCTTAAGAACAAGTTGAAAAAAAAATTACTTCTAGCTGACGTTATGCGAGGAATTAAAATATTGCTTTAATTTGGTTTTTGTCATTGTAAAGTCAATATTATCGCAGTGCTTATTATATGTGTCCATCATCTGGTTCAAGGTTCCAAATATGGTATAATTCGTACGATGACGATTTGTAGCAAATATATTTCTATTTCGTAAATGCCTAGATGGTGTATATACATTTAAGGATGACAATAGTAACACCTGGCACATGTCTTGTTTGCTATGAATTCATTGATAAGGTCCAGCAAGATGTGGCCGATGACATGAAAGCAATCTTAAATAACTCGAGCATTAACATTATCTACTCTAGCTACTGTGTCAGGGAAACCCCATTATCACGGAAACGCCTCGTTTTCTCATGACAAAAAAAAAGCATTTTCGTGCACAAAACGCCTGCAATTTTTGTTTTATTCATCAGATAATTTAAAAAAAGTTAAAATTTTGTTAAAATTTTCCAATAGCGAGATATTTGCGATCAATCGTATGAATTCGAGATATTTTTGCTTTTTTCTGGCGTCCTGGAGAAAACCTTACCTTAATTTTAAGTGTTTCTGGTTTATTAACAAGGTCATGTGGCATTCGGTCATTGCGAGTTTTTTTGTGTGCCGCTTCGATACTGTTACGCATTTGACCACAAACGTTTGGTTCAAAGAGTTTTGGGGGTGATGTGGCTGGCAGCAAGGCGAGCGAATGTTCAATGAAAATTAACTCTTAAACAACAATAATATATGGTACCTACTTAGAAAAATTGATGTAAATTTAGTTGCTCTGAGACTGACATATACGAGCGTCAATTTTGACATAAAATTGAGTCATAATAGACGCGAAATTCAGCTCAATCAAACGTACTTTCGAACTTTTCAGTCTCGGAGCACTTAGTTTTACACGAAATGTTTGTTTACGTCTCATCCTTTATGTCAAAAATGGATTCCGTCACGTGTAAGATTAAGTATTTCTAAGTGTGTGGTCCTGAAAAGAACCATTTTGTCATGGTGGTTGAATTATGCTGAGCAATTAAGGTGGACAACACGGATGAGGCTGGCGAGCTGTATGTTGCTTAGAACGAGGGTGACGTGCTTGGCATAGATGGCCCATAGTGGCTCACGAAGAGCTGCTGAATCCAGCGGTGCGGCTTCTTCATCCTTCTTCGGTGAATAAACGCTCATGTGGGCTGCAGCTCGTTGTTTGTAGGCAGCCTTTCGTTGTGTACTGGAGAACAATATTCAACGGCACGCGCTGAAAGTACTGCTGATTTTTTTTTTAAGCTTTATTATAGAGATTTTTAGCCTTAGGCTAGTTCATCTCTAAAGCACTGCTGATGACAACCGACCGGACAACACCACACACGGTGAATGAATAAGCATCGTTCGGCGAAACCGGATGGAATTCGACTTTGAAATCTGTGTTAGGGAAAGCGCTTTTTGTAGGTAATCGATGATAATAGTCGCCTTTTAAAAATTGATAAAGTGTTAATTTTAACAGATTTGCAGAAAAATTTCGAATCGATTGGCATGTTTAGAAATAAAATCCATATGCTATTGACAGAGTTATAAGTGGTGAAAACCTTTGTCATTTTTCAATAAATTGTAGCACGAAATGACGTCTTGGTCAAAATTATAGGGAAAAATTAAGATTTTCTGGGAAAAAATAAAAAAGCACACTTAGGCTGTGTTTCATTTGGTTAATTTTCACTTAAATTTGACACTTCGAAAATGTTCGAAAATCTCTCTGTTGCTGACCTTCCCATTTTCGAGAAGGTGTTTGTCAAAATTGATTCCTGGTCGGTCAGAAATAAGTCTGGTACAATAGCAGGTTTATTTAAAAATGTTCCATCTGTCGATTTTAAGTGAAAGTTCACCAAATGGAACACAGCCTTAGATTTTACAGGAGTAAGTATTTTTTACTGTGTTTCTAAATGCTGAAAAAGTCGGTAAATTTTTTAATGATAATTGTTCTGGCAAGGCGGACCGTTCCGCCTCGCGATCGGCCAATAAGGTGAGAAGTGGTTTGGCCGATGAGGCATGACAAGGTTACAGGTGAAGTAGAAGTGACGGGTGAGAAAGAGGGAGAGAGAGAGAGAGAAAAGATAGTTAGAAGTTGATCTGAGAGAAGCAGAGATGCCAGATCTACGGAAATCTCCGCAGATCTACGGATTTTACAAATTTTTGCAGAAATACGGATCCGTAGGCAAAATCTACGGAATTCGGTACAGTTTCTACGGATTTTTTCT